CCCTTCCAGCAATATTTTGTAAATGTTGAAAAGTAATCGATACTTCTTTGTATTACCAGAAATGCATAGCAACACTGGTACACATCCCTGCAAGTATTTCTTTACTGTTTCACAAACACAGCTGCAGTAATAGTTCTGCTACCCCACTGTAGTTTAACAAATGAATTTCATTACAAATTAGAACACAGAAGATGAGCAGTGTCCTCAAATGTCTTTAATCCCTTTTTTTTTAGGTTTCATATATCATTAAAATGGAATGACAGGCGGTACAATATATGTTCATTCTTTTAAAAACTCATACACATTTTTCGCTTTGATTCCATTCTTCAGTGGCATACCACAGAGAAACCTCTGTATTTTCAGAATTGATGTACCTTTCAATACTATAATCTTTTGGCTTTCAAGCTCACTATTATTTGCCTTCAGGTGAAAATTTTAAAGTGTATAGGCTTCTAAAAAGAACTTTATGGCTTCAGCCAGATACTGAAAGGCTTGTAGATCAGTCATCATCACAGTGTAGATTTCTTTTCAAAATAATGTTCCTCACTCAGAGTACACTTGTGCTTATACTCGGTTCACTTGTCAAATACAAATCTGAGGTCATCAAAAGCTTCAGGGCAACTTCAGCTATTCAAAAACTCATTTTCTACCTCTATTTTGTTGAAGAAATAGGATTTCAAATGTAAAAATAATAGGAAACTCTACTGATAAAGAAACAAAGGCATCTTATGTACGTTTCAGTACATCATTGCAGTGTCTGCCTGTAAAGACAATAAAATACCCAAGCATTTTAAAACAAATATCACAAGCAGATAATATACTTTGCTATTGTGTTCATACGTATTCTATCCAAAACATGATTTAGAGTTGCAATCTTAAATATCTAGGTTTAGGAACAGATGCTAATGAACCTATTTAAAAGTTTCTTTGTAACAGATGAAACATTTAAATACTCTCATTTACAATGCCTATGGTTCATTGTAAGTCACGTGTTTGACAAGGATAAATGACATAAGGCTCAATATTTTTGTTGGCTTGGATTCCTTGGCCATGTAATAGTGTTTTTACGTAATTCTATTTTTAAGTCCTATCTTTTATTAAAAGAAAATGACAGACAAGAGAGTACTTCCTCTTTCTTTTAAAGTTTTTTAAGTTTACGTTTGAGAGGTCAGCCTGGCTTTTTCACCTCCAGAGACTTTCATGCAGCTATATTTCATATTTATAATTAGAGCTGAGTAATTAAAGGCTTTTGAAAGCAGAGACTGTCTAGGTACTTGGGAAAAGGTTTTCCTGTCCCAAAGTAAAATGGGAGTTTTATCACTGACTTTTACACACACAGGAACCCACAGTCTGTTTTCTATGATCCAAAGTCTCATACATATACATGGTCAAGGTAAATAGGTTTTCAAAAGCTGTTTACAGCAGGTTTCTCCTGGGAGACTTTAAGTACATACAGAATAAGTTAAAAATAAATTAATAAGGCTAAACTCAGTTAGAAACCTAAGCTTTAACTACTTCTGGGAAATTGTTAGTTGCTGTTAAAACTGTGCTGGGATAGAAACTCGCACCACACTCACAATGGCATAAACTCTCCTCCAAATCACACATTTATTTCAAACTGTCACCAGCTGAAATTCTGCATATACGTTTGGACAACTTTCACGTGCCCCCCTCCACACCATCACTTCTTTACAACTTTGCCTGCTTTTTATCTTCTCTAACATTTTCACTGTGATTAAACAGTATTTAAAGTGGCATTTGTGTATTTCCCACCTTTTCATGCTTGTTCATGTCATGTTAAACTTGGAAGAACTAAGTATCTGCAAAGCAGCCAGCATACTGTAATTTATGTAAGATATTGTTTTAAAATGTGTGATAAGGTATATCTCTCCAGCCTCTTAATTTGAGAATCTGTGCATAAACATCTGAATTCAACGTACTTGTTACCTAGCTTGATAATCACAGATTGTCATTCCACATGGCTACTGGAACTCAAAGTGTCTGATGATCTGACTGTCGAGGCTGAGTTTAAAATAAAGGAAGAAAGTCTGACTCCCTGACAAAAGAGACCAGGACAATCTGCTGGTTTTTTTCCCAGTTACATAAGCTTCAAGTAAAAGGGAAAAGGTATAGTCACAGAGAGGTAAAGTTGAGAAACTGTATGTTATAGTGTTTTTGTGGGATACTCTCCCCAATGAGGTTGCCTGGGAGGCCTTTTGCTTGCACATGAAAAGTCTACTGTCCATCAGTATCATGGGTGTACATGTAACGCATTGGAAAAAGTTTGGGAAATATGAAAACATTCTGGCATTCTATAAAAACCCAGCAACTTATAGACATGAAACAGTTGGACAACATCATTTTAAAGCTATGAGCTACTGTAAGCATAATACAAGCCTTGATTCTGGAAGGAATGAGTATATGCTGAATATCTGATAATGGAAGAAGACAGGAATAATGGAGGAGTGACAGGAAACACACTGATTTCAACCCAAAATGTGCAATGAATTAGAACTATTTAACAGCAATCAGTATACATACTAGGTAAGTTATAAAAAAGAGCCTACAGATATGTTCATGTTTGCACAGATGTTATTTGTAAAAAATAAAACACTGACTTCTTTGATATTCCTTTGTAGATGCTACATTTAAGAAAATGTCAGCTCAGCCTCTACAAATTTCAAAAACACTACACATTCTGCTTATATTGGTTTCTTACTATTTCAGAGAGAGGGATGTGAGGGAAAGGATGGAGGAAAGAAGGGGTAGAGGGAGGGAGGGGACACAAAGAAAAGGTTTAAAACTACTAGAGCTAATTGCTCCTGCGTTGCAAGATCTAGTTCTGGTATGAATTTATGTAGAATGTAATCTATCTTTTTATATTTGCTTTTCATTGTTTCCTTCTCATGAAAAAAGAATGAAAATAAATCAACAAAACCCATCCCAACCCAATTTTGTAAAGGAAGGATGGCATAGTAAAGCACCTCACAAGCTATCCCATGCTTTAACATAAAATGCATTATAAAGAGAGGCCCCAAAAATGTATTTTTTTTTATTAAAAATCATTGCTTATGAAGGCTCAGTATCAACAAAGAATGTAAAAGCTTGCCTTTGCTTACACAGTGTAACTCTGAATAATGGAGACTGATGGAACAAAGATGTCCTTAACCTAATAGGACAGCTGTGAAACAGGAATTGGCTGCTGAAGAACAGAACTGGCAATTCCTACAATTTCCAACAGGAAAACTGGCCCAAATCAATTGCTCACAAATTCCTAGCGCTAACATCAAAGAGTGGAATACTCAGTATGTCAAAGAAGTTAACAGCAGGTCACATGGCATCGGCTGTCCACTCCAAATTATGGAGTATATCATAACAGAGAGGAATGAAAGATAATGAAGCTTCAACAAAGCTACTGAAGGGCCTAGAGCACGAATCTGACAAGGGTACTGGGCCCTTAGTGACATGGCTCAGTGGTGGTCTTAGCAGTATTGGGGCAATGGTGGGACTTGATGATCTTAAAGGTCTTTTCCAACCCAGTTGATTCTATGATTCTGTAAGAATGTAAGTGGGACCAAATAGGGGGAGGAAGACACAGGAATTCCTAGATAGAGAACAGAATTAATTTGTACATAACTCCTGGGGTTCCCCTGAGGCAGAGAACCCACTGTCAGTCCGTATGAGAGCATAGCTGGTATTCTGTAGTATCAGGAATCAAGACTAAAGTAAGGATTACATTTGGTTTGAGAATGATGTGGCATGTACACACAAGGTTACTGACAGCAACCTTTATGGAAGTAGGAACCCCAAGTTTCAGGAAACAAGAGAAATAATTTACAGAAAGCATCTAATACACAGGGCTTTAGATAAAATATGCAGTACCCATGCAATTTCATCCAATAGATATTCCTTAAATAGTTCTTTTTAATACAGAATATCACAATGTGATTCAGGAGACAGTTTAGCTAGCATATTCACTGTGAAACAAAACAGAGTAAAACATCAGATACAGGAAATTATTTGCAACAAAAGCCAGAATTTAAGAGCAGACAGACTTCTCGTGTTTCTACTTCCTTTATCCAAGGAGTACTATTTTATTGGTCTATTGACATTAAAACACTATAGAGCTTTTCAAAATGGTCATGCTGCTTACTTCCCTTAATTTAGTACAAGCCTAGCTATTTCATTATAAATTCAATGTCAGGAACTAATTCTTGGAAAAATAAGTTTTAATGAGCCAAACCACGAATAAACTGCTTCCTTTCCTCACAGTAAGACTGTCCACTACCTGCAGCAATACTACATTTATGGCTTTTATAAAGTACATTTTCTCACATTTTTATTGTACTCAGCCGAGTTCCTTCTGCACAATATTAATTCAATTAAAAAATACAAACTCTTTTACTTTAAAAAACAGACTTATGGAAAGTAAGTACTATATTTCTAAACATTCAGGGACTCACAGGAGACTAAAAGAGTATATACAGCTTAATACAATCCCTAGTGCTTCAATGTGATTTTATATTGACAGAGTCTTTAAGAACTTAAAAAAGCACTAAGGACTATAAGCAATTTTCTATCACATGAAGGAAAGAAGAAAAAGCTCCCAATTATAAACAACTGATTAACATAACTGCTTCATGTTTAGCAGAAATGACCTAGAAATCGCAAATCACGTAACTTCACAAATTTTGGCTCCATACTTTCATAATCAATTATTTAGAATTAATTCAAGCATTTTTAGAAGACATTTTTTAAAGGATGTGAGAAAGCAAGTGTTAAGACTTTGAACAGAAATGTAGAATGGATTGTCATTTGAAGAGAAGGCGATCAATTTAAACAACCTAGACTTGTACTCCACATTTAGAAATGCAACTACAAAACACACACACATACAAAAAATAATTAAATGCAAATGCAATGCAAAGATTCATAGTTCAAAATGAGCAAGTACAAGGCTAGGTAGACCAAGAACCACTTTGGAAATAGTGTGGGGCAGATCCAGAAAACTGATCCAAACAATAAGTAGGATAGTCATATACATTGCATAGCAGAGGATTTACACTGCTTGTGTACATCAGCCTTCTTGAATTATAGTTATTTTATATGTAACACAAGATGCAACTGCTAGTAGCTGATGCGCTTTCATTTAGGTTTTCCAGCAGCTTTTGAAACTCCTCAGGAAACAGTTTTTTCCATCCATTATAATGTGTGATCTGTTTTGTGCATTTCTCTGCCACAGATGGTAGAGGTACCATGCATCAAGCAGATCATACATCCATTTATCTTCATAAATAGTTCCTTGAGGCAAAAATACATAACAAAAAGACCTCACAAATATGGACTGTGGGATATTCACAGCCTGTTTGGGTTCCAATACTTTCCCTACCAATACAGTTCCAAAACTGAAACTTTCATAGCTGACACTGGTCAAGTTTGTTATTCTTTTTGAGGGAGGGCAGGTTCAAGCTCCTTTTGATAAAATACCAAATGCTCTTAACAGTGTTAATCAGTTGCCATTATATGTCAAAAAAGCCCATCCTGATAAAACTCTGGTTATTTATCCCTTACCTTAAAAATAGTTTACTGCTTATGTACCTTGCAATAATCATCACAAGTCAAAACTTTAATAGATCTGAAATACTGGAACACCCTAATAGCGAAGAATATATGAAGCATATATGAATATATTACTCACCAATTTTAATCTTTGCAAAGGTATTCTGCTAGTGTCTATCGGAGTACGTTCTGTGACATTACCAAATCTGACTTCTGGGATGGCAACTGCACATATTACATGTGCCCACCTGTGAAAAGTGGCAAGTCAAGAATACCACCAAAAAAAAACCCTATAGAAATACAAGTGTTTAAGATGTTTCATTACTTACTGTGTGGGGTTTGGTTTGTTTGGTTTTGGGTTTTTTTTACGGCAACCATCCCCAGATCCTTCCTTACTAGGATGCCCTAAGTTTCTTTGAAACATATTTAGCAAAACTTACAACACTACCACTTCATGTAAATATATTTTCAGACTGAGGTTTTACTGCAACATATTTTTAAGCATCTTTCATGTGCAATTTATTAAGTTTAAAGGTTTTGTAGTTGTGCTATCCAGGTGTATATGTAAAGACCACACTGATTTGTGTGCAGTTTTATTACCTGCAGCATTTTGGATTAACATTACTCAGACCTGAGTAACTTAGGCAACAAAACATGATCACAATCACAGTGTATCGAAGAGCAAAACAAAGCATACTATCAAGCTCTTCTGTTTACAGACACAAATGCACAGAAGCAGCAAGCTGATGAGGCTGTTACTGTAATTCCCAGCACGAACTGTATCTCTTTGAGCAACGGAAGCACCTATAATGACAGCATGTGCATATTATATAAAGAGAGAAGCTAATGACGTTAATCAAGAGTAGCCTTCTGAGACTACTTTTAAAATCTTTTTTGGGGGTTGCCAACTAGTAAATCTGAAGAAAAGGAAATATTTCCCTTCCTTTACTCCTATTTGCTTTATTCCCTGTCATTCATTGTACATCTTGTATCATTACCCCATTTCCTCTTTTATTGTACGCCCTGAATGCTTGCCTCGTTCCACTTTCTGTAGATTTCCAGAGACACACATTATATGAGCATTTTAGCAGATTAACAACGAATGCAGGCTGGTGATGCAACAGAGCAGAAATAATTTCTCTTTCCTGCACTAGAATGATGCTATTTCAGTAACTCATCTTTGACAAAAATATATGGAAAAATATAATATGACATACAAAGACTAAACAAATTGCTGTCATGTAACACTGAAGTTGTATTGGCCTAAGTGTCAAATAAGACCTGTAGGTAAAGATGACATATCAATTAGCAAGTTATACAGTTTAGCCCAAATAAAAACTGATTAAGCTTGTAGATTTATCATTTTATTATGGTGACAGTATTGTTTATATTTTGATTTACAGAATGAAAAACTTGCTTTGAGTCTTTTTAACTTTTATTAGCATCCTTTTCTTTGCTGCCTGTCCATCTGCAGAACTACACTGTCCAACCATCCAAGCTTTATGGTACAGAAATGCTATAAATAAAATGCCTCTTCAATAAATCTTCACCCAAGACTTTATACTCTGAGATCTCTCAACATAACAGACTCCAAAACAATTGCTGTGTTCTGTTGAAAAGAATCTCAACTCTCCATGATGGCGAATTGTTACACACACCCCGTTTAATTAATTAGCTTTGAATCTAAGTAATGCTCATCCTGTATCACTAATTGTTACTTGAAAGGGAAAGAAGGAGCAAAGGGAATGCACATGTTGGATTTTACACTTGTTGGCAAAAAAAAAAAAAAAAAGAAAAAACAAGACATAATTAGAACATAATCTTCCAAAAACTGGAATTGTACCTGATGCTGAAAGACAGATGAAAGACTCAACATGTGTAGCATTCTAAGATGTTACAGAAACAGGAAAACAAAAATTGAACTACTTTTACAGAACTCTCATTTTATAAACCTGTAACAGTAAGCCGCAGAGATATGTAATGCAAAGCCAAAGACTTTAGATATAGTTATGTAGAGAAACTAACTTCCTGCAAACCTCTGCGGATTTTTTTTTCTATGAATAAATCCTACTAAACATTTCTAAAACATTTGAATTGATTTACAAAAAAGATGTATGTGTTCACAAAGATGCAACACGCCATCTATCACAAATATCAAAGGGCACGATAAATTCTACTGAGATGACACTTCTGCAGCTGAGAATTTTCATGTGTTGGTTAACAATATTAACGCTTTCTGAAGGTAAGATTTGTCCTCTGAGTTTCCTTCTCCTAACCAAGCAATTTACACGGGTCATGCAAGCAATTGCAAATCACTGATACATAAGTTTTTGCCTCGTAAGTGGAAAAGAATGTTGCAGCTAGATCATCTCTTACCACTCCATTCCAAACGGTTAAAGAAAGGTATCTACATGATATTGCTAGGCTACTAAAATAATTTAATTAATTATGAGAAGATCCAAAATGCATAAAGACTGTTCCACTACTAGAGTTGAAAAAGATATTAAGCTGCAGCACTTTCTATTTTACCTGTTCGGGTTACTTGCTATAGTGTTCTATCATCCAAATATAGAGAAAAATACTGATGCTGTTAATAGCATGATATCAGCAACAATATTATTTTTTGACATTGCATGATAGAAGCGTATATTAAAACCACTTCAAAATATAAAATTATTTCAATATTATTCAAATTGAGCAATTAAATGTACTGTTTCTAGAAGTTTAAAGGTATTGCCTTGAATTCTGTAACCATAAATTTCCAGGACCGAAGAAGAAAATGTATTTCGCTGTTTGACAAGACTTGCTTATGCAAACAATGACAAATGAGCTCCCATTTACTGTATTATACAAAGGCCAGCAGAATAATATCTGGAACAAGTTGGTGAGTGCAAATTCTAAAACAAATGTATATTTTAGCACCTAAATATTTCACAAAATGACAGTGGCACTAGTAATTTTAATTCTGCAATGAGTCAGTTTAAAGGGACACTGTCACGTAATTAGGTTTACAAACACTTTCTACATGGGAATAAAGCTTAAAACAAGCACACACAGTCCCGAGCAATGTCATACTTACTTCTTGTCAGTAGTTTGCTTTAATGCCCCACCTCTCAAATTGCAGAGACAACATTCCTAAAAATAAAAATAGTGTGGGAAAAAAGTGAGCTTCACTGATTGGTTAGAAACAAGTTTTTATTGAGCTAATCTTAAGGATATGCAAATTGCTAATGTAATTAATCACAGGGTTACAAACTGCCACTTATAAGCACTGCATTTCCTTACAGAAAAAAAAAATAGAGTAGCAAAAAGAGAAACAAATCATTTGAGCTAAAGAATTCTAGGTATTACTCATAAACACAGAATCATTTCGAAAGTGATAGCAAATAAAAAGGCATTTAACCATTAGTGCTATGACACCATAGAAAGGCTGGAACTTCAATACAGATTATTAAGGTAAATCAAAGTAAAATTACACATAACTAGTTTAATAGAAGTTACTAAGAAACTGACTCACAAGCTATTTATCCAACTCTTTTTCTTTGTTTTTTTTCTTTTTCCCAAAAGTTCCCTTTGCTGCAGTAAACCTTCACTTCCTTGATCTTTACCACAACTCTTATCTGCTTTCAGGGCACTCAGCAAGGTATATTTCAGTGTTTCCTTGACAACACACCAAACAGGGCTTTTCCTACCTCTACTTAAAATTGTGTCTTTGAACACATACACAGGCTTTTCTTCTTTTCAACCCTTCTCTCTCTTCAGTCTCTTCCTTTTCTGAATCTACCCTTTCCCCAGTTTTCTTTTATTCCACGTTGCTTCACATGAACAAGTAAGAAGATATTTCCAATGTTAGCTACTTTTCTTTCTGACATTTCTCTGGCCTCTACAAAGAACCAAATGCACAAAACTAAGTCAAGATTTCCTGGGCCTGTATACATGTACTCATAAAGAGTGCTTGTCTTCCAAATCTCTAAAATTGTTTCCCCTACAGAGAAAAAAAAAAAAAAACAAAATTAACCCCCCCCCCCAAATAACAAACACAAACCAACAAAGAAAAACCAACAAAGAACTGTTATGCAACATTCCAGTCTGACCTCATCTTAAAGCCTCCAGTAATGAAGAGATCATGTCTGCCAGAAATCTAATTGAATGCTTATAAAAAGCGTGTTGACCACACCACACAGCTTGGCAAACCTGCTGAGGGTACATCAGTCCCACTGTCCATGCTGCTGACAAAGATGTGGAACAGTACTGACCCCTGGGAAACACCACTTGTCACCAGTCTCCATTTGGACATTGGGCCTTTGATCTCAACTCTCTGAGTGAGACCATCCAGACAATACCTTATCCACTGAGTGGTCTATCTGTCAAATCCATGCCTCTTCAGCTCAGAGACAAGGATGCCCTGGGGGACAGTGTCAAATGCTTTGCCCAAGTCTAGATAGATGATTTCAGTTACTCTTCCCTTATCCGCCAGCACTCATCATAGAAGACCACCAAATTTGTCAGGCACAGTTTGCCCATAGTGAAGCCACGCTGACTGTCACCAGTTACATCCTTATGATCCATGTGCCTTAGCATAGTTTCCAGTAGGATCTGCTCCATCCTGGAGACCAAGGTGAAACTGACTGGCCTGTAGTTCCCTGGGTCTTCCTTGTTTTCCATTTTAAAAATGGGAGTAATGTTTCCCCTTTTCCAGTCAGCAGTAACTGCACCAGACTGCCATCACTTCTCAAATAAATAATGGTTTGGCAGTACCTCCACCATTTGCCTCAGGACTCACAGATGTATCTTGTCAGGTCCCATGGACTTGTGCGAGGTGAGACTGACTGGTCTGTATATTGAGCCCAGAGAAAAGAGGTAGCTGTAAACATCCTCATTACCATCTCAAAAGATTTCTCTTATGCAGGATCTTTAGGAAACAAATTTAATCACTTTAGAAAAAACACTCATACAAATCTATGGTGGGCAAGCAGTGCCTGATAACTGTCACAGTCTGGTGGATATAGGCTACAGCAACTTAGATTCATAAGAACCAAAAAATTTCACCATTCATATCAATTAAAAGCCAATTAAATCCACTTTGTTAATCATGTTTGCCTTGCAATACATTGTCCTATATCCATGCAACATGGTTATTACTCTACCTCCAGTTTCAACATGCTGCAAGCAAATAAAATTCAGGGGACTCGATATTTAGAAAAACTAATATTCCTAATACAGGAATACCTGCCACAAATGGCAGTGAAATCACATGTATGTAAGCAACTATTACTCATGTTCTCAAAGAGAAGGAAAGGAAGTGTTTGTGCTGTGAGAGTGACAGAGCACTGGAACAGGTTGCCCAGGGGGGTTGTGGAGTCTCCCACATTGGAGATATTCAAGGCCCGCCTGGACAAGTTCCTGTGTGATGTACTCTAGGTTACCCTGCTCTTGCAGGGGGGTTGGACTAGATGATCTCTTGAGGTCCCTTCCAACCCTTGGGATTCTGTGATTCTGTGATTCCTTGTATGCCTACCGTCAGCCTTCATATAAAAGTCAGGATGGGAACAGACTTCATTATAGACCATCACCTTGGAACATATCCGATATCTGATCACTATTACTTTGCAAATCCTTTAAACAACTAATTGTCATTTGTATTTGGATTAAATAATAATTTCTTAAGCATATTATTTTACACTTATCTAAATTAAATCTTAGACCATTTTAAATTGCTCATCTCCTTAAAATATCTCCATAACATTCTAGAATTACAAAACAAAACTCTTTCAGTATCTATATAAAGTAAAACATTTCCATATAATTCACAAGGTTTAGCACACCAACATTCACTTCATCTTTTAGCTTTTTAGTGAAGACAATGCATTTTTTTCATAGCAATACAGATCATATTCAGAGTTTCTGGAGTAAACACTTCTCCTTCTTCATACTGAAACTGAATTTTGCAACCAGCATTCCTAATATGGTTTATTTTTCATTTCTCTCTTTCAAACACTGCTAGAAGCTGGAGCAAAACCCTGGTGAATGTGAATTACCTATGTGTCCTTTGGTACATACATCCAAAAGATGGATCACCTTTTTTGGAATGGTATGTCACTACTCAGGCATAGCTGCATATTGATTATTGTTGCATGGATAAATACCGCACAGAACACATGCCTGTTCACTCTCATTTATATCTTAAAATTAATGCATTTGGTTGTCTGTCAGCATTTGTTACACTCTGACAAAATTCAGTCATATAGACAGTACTGCTTATAAAAAGCAGTTTTCACAGTTCCATATTGGCATACTTACTTCATCAGAAATAGCATTCTGCATGAGACAGGAAGCTGTCTGACACAGCAAAGCAACAATGTTCAGAGAAGCCATAGCAGAGGGATATATAGTAAGTCATATAATCGGTATTCTTATGGGCAACTATGAATATGTCCCACATGATCCCCTCTTTTGATAAACTGCTATTTCTCTTTTCCTCTAAGATCCTGTAAATTACAATGGCATCTCTGAAGAATTATATTTATCCTGTTAAATGAAATATGTAACTTATGTCAGTGGATAAACATAGGGTAACTTAAGCCTTTTTTCTTTTTTTTTCTTTAATTTAATCATAAACAGGACAATCGGGTTATTCCTTTCCTTTTTGCCGTTTTCCATCTACAGCCCCTTAGTCACACAACTGCAACGTTTTCACCTACTGCCTTCATCTGCCTTTGACTAAGGCAATTTATTATTTGAATATTGTAGAAGACTGAGAAAGCGGTAGGGAATGTTTGCCCAAGACTTATATTCTTCCCCAGGAATCCATTTCCAGCTGTGCTAGAGAGAGGATAACAGGCTAAAACAAATTTTGGTTTAATTCATTATGGCAGATCTTACTAGTCTATGTAACCTGCCATTTTAAAGTTTTACAAAATGTATTTTAAAATGTTCTAGAAAGGATATCTAGGTATTAGGAAAATACCATTGCTTAGCATTGCTAAGTTTACACTGCTATATACATGACATATAATGCACACATTTTCATGTATGTCAGGTTTATGATTTTGAAAAGGAAACAGAAGGCATTCAAATTTATATAATAATTTATTATTATTATGTTATTGTGATAAGATTATTATCAAATATTCATTTAGCTGTGACACCAGAATGAAGCATTTCAAGTAAGTATATATTTTGGCTACTGCTCTGAAGCCTTGCAGTGTTGATAATAGAATGACAGAATGTTTTGGGTTGGAAGGAACCACCTGCAAAACGCCTTCCATGGGCACAAACACCTTCCAACCAGGTTGCTCAAAGCTCCATCCAGCGTGACCTTGAACACTTCCAGGGACTGGACAACCAGAACTTCTCTGGGCAACTGATGTCTCACCATCCTCACAGTGAAGTATTTCATCCTTATATCTAACCTACAGCTACCCTCTCTCAGCTTAAAGCCTTTACGCCCACAACGTCAGCACTAAGCAGGACAATACTTATCCAGATAACAATATATTTTAATTTCCTTTTTTTTTTTTTTAAACAACTATTTGACCTGTGTGCCTGCTGACTCTGACTTGTCTCTGAAAGCATTCAAAAATCTATGAAAAGCCATTAGGACACAGCTGTTTCCCAAATATTTTTAATAAGAGGCGAGAACATTTCAATTTTAAGAATCAACTGCTACAAAGCTGACTCACAAATAGTGCTGATTTACTAGTCTCATTTAAAAGTAGATAATTGCAACAGACATCTAATCTTGAACTATGCCAGAGCTAACTCAAATAGATACAAATTGTATTGCTAAGGCTAATAAATATCTTTTGTTTTCTTCAAACAACTCTGGTAGGCTTTTTAGAGAGGAAGCTTTGAACTGAAAATAGATACCCTTAAGTCTTCCATCTTCTCACCCAATGTCCAAGGTCACACTTCCTAATAGTATTAACACAGTTGTACATTTGGATATGGCATTGCTGCCTTTTCGACTACCTCATTTCCCAGCTTATTTATATTTGTGTCTATATTTATGCCTGTGTAAAGAGAAGGGTTGGTGCTTCTTTCAAAGCATTTGAAAATGTCGTTTTCAGCAATGATGCACTAATGAATATTTTAATCTTTCCATACCAGGGGAATCATTTCCACTCAGAAATAGC